AGTCCCTAATGATGTCGCTTGATTTCTTAATGTAGCTTAACACGATTTGTATAAATATTACGTGACAGGATTCGCATTTTAATTAATATTCCCCTAGTCAAATGCGTTTCAATAGAAAAGAGCGATGTACTTCGCTATTATTAAGATTAGCTAAGATTAATTTAATTAAATAACGTTAAATAAACTTAATTACCGTAATTGAAACTGAGCTTAACAAAAACTTCATGTTTACTTTTCGAGACTGGTAAATAAAGAAATAAATTACGTACGTAGTCTGTCAAGCAAATTGTGTTTCCACGCAGACGGATTTTCAACTGATGGTGTAAAATTTCGTTTTGTTTGTTTTTGTTAACGATTGCTTGGATATAATGTATAAAAACTAAGCTAACATTGTGAAAAAACTGCGACGAAGATTTTCGATAAAAGTAAACAGTCATTACTTTTAATGATTATTAGGCCAGTACCTTTGGAATACGTTTAATAACTAGAAAGTGGTTATAAATAAAAAATAAATTGACTGTTACGAGACAACGCCCATGGAAGCGGTCTTAATCGATTTACAGAAAAGTTTTCCAGTGCTTTTAATTCTTAAGTCCCTTACAGAATTGAAGCAAAACCGACCGAGTTAACTAGTTCCCGTACCTACGGAAGCACAGAGGGGCCACTTCAATTTTTTTTGGCGAATTTCATGGTTTAAGTCGAAATTTCGTGTTGCAACAGAAAATAACTGCATTCTGTTCAACACGCAGTAGCATGTTCACATTTCCAACAATGTGCCAAATTTAAATAATATTACACAGGGTGAACCACAAGGTACTATACTCTTGGGCCGTTATTTCTTTATACATGCCCAATCACACATTAATTTTGGAACGTTATTTTCTTACCAATTGATGTTCCTGGTCAAATTTTATTTAAGTAACCTCTTATTTGTGTTCTTATTTAAATTCTTGCTCTAATGTATAGGTATATGAAACCCTTACGCCATCCAGGTCCTTTGGAATCCACGCGTTTAGATGTAAGTTGTTCGTAAGTTTGTTCCAAGTGTTATAGTATTCCTATTACAGTAGTTACAGGCCATTCGACGATGGGAGGTTTCTTTTACTTACTTCTTTGTCTTGTCGCTAGAGTTTACGTGTTGTACCTTTCTGCACTTAATTCTATCCCTCCTTAGTTTATCTGGCGAGCATTTGATTTCTTTTCCCCTCGGTGAAGTTTCTGCTTTCGCATTGCTTACATGCAAATTTTCTCTTGGTACGCATTACTTTTACTGACTTCTGTCTACCCGTAAAAGGATTGGTATTTTGGCTTTACCGTTTATCTTTGGAGTGGTTTCTTTCTTTCTCTTGATGTCGGTGGCTGTGGCGCCATTGCAGCGTTTTTACGGATTTGTATTTGCGTGAAGTTTACGAAGAAGCTAGTCAGAGTGTTGTGCCTTCGGGTGTTTATCACTTATATTAAGCCTTTCTCAGCATCAGTTAAAAGTAGTTGTTTTCCGCCACCAAAGAGCAAATTTTACATCTGCATTTACAACGAACCCAGTGTCGTCACACACTTTATGGTAATAAAGATTTCTTTAAATATTTGTTTCAATCGATCGCTTGTTGCGTGGTATGTGTACTATGACGCTGAGTGCTTATTTTTATTTCCACCATATTAATTGATTTTGTCTAATAAATTTGTTCTATCTGTAAATGTTCTATGTTGTGTTTATCGAGCCCTAATTACGAATCATGTTAATTTTTTCTGTTAGTACCCAGAATTATGCCATTTGTTAATTAATTTTTTGGAATTGCCGAGGCGATTAAATCTGCTGAGTTTGTCAAATTAATAAAGTTCGAGTCTTGTCAAAATTGTACGTAGTGCCTGCATTCGAACCAAAACCAAACTTCGCTTTTAATTTTTTTGGAAATTGCAATTTTCTTTTCACGTGACTATTATTGAATTCGTTGAGCGCAGTTTCCATGAAAGGACTTACTTCACCTGCGATTTCCGACAAATGACCGTTCGGAGATGCCCTATGCTACATTTTAAGTATTTGGCATTTATATGATTTACTTGTTTCTTGCTACTCCATGATGTTACTGCACATTCTCATGTCCAACTCAGAATGAGTGAATGTGAGGTGACAATATTTTGAAGCAGTGAGAGCGTACCAGGATATTAGCGTTATCACTAGGCAAATGAAGAGGAAACAAATAAGTAATAGAGGAAATGGATTGAATAAGGGAGCGATGCGTGATGGGAAAAGGAAAAGAAACCCTCAAAACTAAAAAAAAGGAAGCAAGAGATAGAGTAAAGAACAGTACAACGATGTAGATGTAACAAAGAAAATGAAGATGCAGAGCGGAGGAATAGCTAAAAGAGAAGTGGAGAAGAGTTAGATATATGCGAGTACCAGGGGAAGGAAGTATGTTGGGGTCATAGGTAATTAATAGTTACGCCGGGGAATACAAATGGAGGAACGAATAAAAATGATTGATGAAAGAGAACAGTAGAGAAAGAGAAAAGGTTTGGGGGGTGAAAGTAAGAGAGGAAGAAACGCGGAAGAATGTTGAGGAAAAAATAAACATTTCTGGGACTTTGTAAGAGAATTCGAAGTAGTGGTAAACACGGATAGAAGAGAAAAACCGCGAGAACCTGAAGAATAGAGTGTCGATTAACAAAAAATCGAAAAGAACAATAAAAAGGTAAGCGTGCAAGGTAGTATAATAACAAGGGTAAAATAGTATACATAAGTAATAGCATAGGACTAATGTGTGTATTAATCAAAGAATGGGTAAAAGATAGCGAGAATACAACCGAAAAGGGTAATATAATGAGAGTGATATATATTAATAGCAGGGAAAGTATGGAAAATTTAAGAAAGAAAATAGAAAATATGGTAGATGATAAAGGTGACGAAAGAATCATATTGCATCTTCAGTTAAAAAAGAAAATAATAAGATCAAGTAGTTTAGCGACACAAAAACAAAAGAAATTCAATACAGACCCCTCCACCACCTGAACATATGGAGAATAGATGCTGTACATAAGTATTTAATAATAACTACATTTTACTGGTTTGTCTCCATTTTCGTTTTTAATTACTTTCCCTATCCTATGCATTATTGATGAACCTAGTAACTAAGGTACACTGGGTCCGGGAGTATGTTTGTCTATGACGCGCTCTAGCGGTTGAATGGTTAGCCTTATAAAAAAAGTGATATATGAAAAATACATTAAATGTGTACTTTAATCGTGTATAGAATTAGATATGAAATATGTGTTTGCGCGGTTTCCAACCTTAAAACTTTTTTGTTATCGTCAAGAATTCACTTAAACTTTTGCAACTGTTCAGGAGAATATATTTAGTGTAAAATATAAAGTAAAACGGAACTTTACTATTATTATTACTATGAAATACAATATATGTATTTGTGTCTGCTCCTATTTAAGATACTGCAACAAAACTAATCCCTTAATTTCTCGAAACAGCTCTATTCATAATTAAAGTTATCCTTTGATAGATCTAACTCTATAGACTATATCACGTTAGTTAAAGGCGATATATTACAAGATAAATGATAATTGTAAACTCAACGGTTTCAGATCAATCAGTGTCACTCCGCGAACGTGATGAAACTATGTCGTTGGTGATGAATTTCCTTTTAAATAAAGTAATATTGCAGAGTTTCGGAGTAAAGGTCTTGGGGACAAGTAGGTCGGCAATATTGAAATTTTTAAGATCGTTCTATTCTAAAGGGTATTGTATTTAGAAAGGGTCCCCTGAAAGGGTTTTAAATGCCATTATAGTTTTTATCATCGCCCATTGTGTACTGGTGTGCGCAAGTTGATTCAAAGAATTTAATATTTCCCATTCAACGTCAGTAATGCGCTGAATCACGTTGTCCACTAAAGAAATTTAGCACTAAGGAATCGGTGGATTAGGTGTGTAATATAAGGCACGGATGAACCAATTGATTAATTTTCAGGGAGAATGGCGAATTTCCGATTAGAAACTGACGCCGTTATTGCTGCGGAAGTGTCCGTAATGAATTGGCTGAATAATTTCCCTAAAATAGCGTAAATTGTTTTTCCCAAATAACGCCATAATCGACATTGATCCTACTCGCTGGTAAGAACATCAGCGAACAACTGAAAGATAAAATACAAATACGACCATATTTATACTAATTACAACTGAAAGTGAAAGTTTATGGACGCTGATTGGCATAAAATACCTATATCTTCTTCATAATTATTCATTAGCGTTGGTTTTTCTCTAAAATTTCATATCAATAAGTTATTTTTACTATTTACTTGCTTAATCAGGCAAATATCCTCCACTATATGACGATTTTCAAGCATATGCATACGTACAGAAGAATTTTATATATAAAGATATATAAAGATTGAAAGACAGCCAGGTAACTTCAACATACGAAATTCATCCAATAAACGTTTAGAGTGATGCTACAGCCTTAGGTAGAACAGCCATTTCATTTTAACGGTTTAAGTGAATAAAGCTTATAATAAAAATATAAATAAAGAAAACAAGACGTGAGCCGAGTCGCGTGAAGCATAACATAAGTTGAAAGTTAAGATTACTGCACTTTTATCTAAAGAGCTTAAAGTTATACTGAAATTGCACTTTGAACACCTTAAGCTTGGCGAAAACTAAAAGATATTCCACCTTTCGCGTTATAAGTTCAAAATGCATTTTACCAAAAGGCACGCTTCCCATACGAGATTAGTAGATAGCGGGCGTTGGGCAATTATAAATGGTTGTGTTGCGACGCCGAAGATAAAGGTCGAATTACTACCAGGCTTTCTAGTCAGAAAAGTAATTAAAGCTCCATAAAATCAACGTCATCGTTCGCCCTTTCTAACGAACTGCTATTTTCTCCTAATTCCTAATTTAATGTTTTATTTATCTTGTGTAGTCTCATGGTAGATTATATTTTTACGTTATTCTCAACGCATCTAAATTACACACTACGCACAGTTAAGAGATTTACCGTTTGGTAGATGTAGTTCTGGAAGTTCTCCACTCTGCAACAAAAGGAGGTTACAATTAGTATGTAAACGTTGTTTTAGATACAGCTTTTGTTTTGGGATACGAAATGAAATAATATATACGAGGAAAAGAGTGTATTTAACGCAGGGGTGCCTTTGTGCTACCTACCTACATTAATATTTGGTAAAGATAAGGAATATATTTAAATCTGATTATTTCGGTATTTATTTAAACCCACCCCAAAGTTAAACATAATATTAAGAAGAGAATGAGCAAGATAAATGTTTTTGAATCGCGAAATACAAAACCTTTGTTGATTTGTTGGAATGTATCCCCTTTTCACTGAAAAGCGCTGAACACTGATATATTTGTAGAGCTAGACTGCTTGCTCTTTTCGTTTTAGGTAAATTAATTGCTGTATTTTATAGAACGGCAATTTGTCGAAACTGTATATGATACTTACGCCTGGGGTGCCTACGCATTTACCTTTTTGCATGCCTGGAATAATTTTAACGCATCATTGCCATAATCGGCGATGACTCTCATATAGGAATTCATTATGCGTGTTAGTTTAGAAAATTAGCAATTTTGACAAAATGGTTAAAAGGTATTTTTTCCCCTAGGGCCTAGATACTACATTGTAGCACTATAACATGTAAAATAAAAAAGATGACAACATGAAGTTTTATCCATTTCGAATGAAAAAGCAATAGTGTCACAGAAATAATGGTATAGATCCTAAGTTAGGAAGTTACAGTTTTTTGAGATTTAAAGGGTTAGATCAGTTGAGGCATTCCACATCATATGAAATCTACAAGGTGTTTAGGGGGTGAATTTTCCAATAAATTATATTTGGTGGAATTGAAAAAGTCCGTGAGTGTATGGCATTGAAATTAAAGATCGTCCTTTCTGTGTATTTTCAATTGCTCCCTTAAATTAGTTTCGGGAACCTAGGCGACGCGATGCCCTGCGTGGGGATCAATTCAGCCATCTTAGTAAGTGCTATTTAGTTACCAATTTTTTATTTGTAGGGAGGCGGATTTAAGCAACGAATTACCGATTAAATATGTCCGTCTCCATTAACAATTCGACATTTTGTGAGTAGTCATTAATTAAGTAAGAACAGGGTGGGGCTAGTATGGAAAGCTTTTGAGAGGATTCGGTCTGAAATAACCCACGTTAACTTGCCGCAAAAAAATGTTGCTACAATTTTACCATAGCGGAAGTTCGTATTTTTTTCCGGGTACCGTTTTGAAACGTCAATTTCTCGCGAGGGTTCCAAAAATCTGACTCAAAACCATCGGAAGCAAAAGAAAATTTTCCAGCCAAAAGAAGATTTCAGTTGGGAAGAGATTAAGAGGGTTGTTTAAATTTCAGCGTAAATAAATTATTTGTGCCAGTAAAAGGAGAAGGGAACGTTAAACTAAATTTGTGGGATTAGTTGTTGAAATATACAAGGACAATTAGATTCAGCCGCGAACGAAACGTGTAGTTTCGAAGTGGTTGATCGTTACAAAGGAGTGACTGTTTATGTGGAGTGCGAAATTACACCTACGCGTATTGTAACGAAGCATCCGTTTTTCTCCTTAACGTTTACCAGTTTTGGTCATTAGTCTGTAGTGTAGATGAACACCCGGTATCTAGAAGTGCTTTCAGTTGGGCGCTTCTTTACGAAAAATGTTGTGTCGAAAGTATTTCTGTTGAGTCTAGGAGTTAAAGATTCACGGTCCGAAAGCTCGTGTCATTTAGAAGACGATGGCAAATTTATATTTTAGAAACTCAGTCACGTTAAGCCATTAGCAGGTTACTCTTTTTATAATTTAAAATTAGCATTAAAGCTGCAAAGTCATTCAGGTTTACGCCGATATCAGTTTTGATAAGCGACCTTTATGCCGACCCGAGAAATTCCAATTAACCATGAGCCTTACTGGACTACCGACTTTAGAAATTTCAATCCACCCAATTAAGTAAGTGACATTAACAGTAGCTGGTAATGAGCGGCCATTTTACTGTGAAATTGTGTGGGTATTTGCGGGATCGTTAGATATTAATCCCGCGGGATCCCGGTATTTGCGAATTCCGCAAAAGTTTAAATGTATTGAAAAATATGCAATTTTGTGCGGCTAACCGAAAATTCTCGATATAAACACATCATATTTCCCGAAAAGAATGCGCCACATCCGCCTTCGTTACATTATAATTTATAATATAATGGAATCAACATATAGAAAGAATGTCAGAAAACAGGACAGTTAAAATAGCGAGAGACAGGCCGCCAAACGGAAGAAGGTGAATAGCAATAGGACCCCCGAGGAAAAGGTGGTCAGATAACATCGTTTTAGGCTAGAACCGAAGTTAAAGCAAGCAAAGAAGCAGGAAGAAGAAGAAGAAACATCATAAACTGCCAAGCCAAAGTGGACGATGTGCCATTTCAAAACAAATGGCTGGGATTCCAATAATCGCAATAACATTTAAAAATCTCAAATCCAATTGTTGTTTATGAGCAAACCGAAACCACACCACTTCGTACTCCAACACTTCGGTTAAAGGAGATGAAGTTTCTCAGCTTACATCAAATTTTTTGGATATTAAATCCTTGTTCACGGGACTTTTTCAGCATAATGAAAAGAAGAGAAAAAGCATTTCATAGGAACGTATAATAATTTATGAAATGTGTGTTGATCTACCAAAGCAAGACATCAAAGTAACATTTTACTGATTAATTAAATTCGGCTTAAATTTGTATAACCTAGCTTAATTAATAATTACATAACATTTGGTCGTTTCGACATTCGCTTATGATTTTAGTGAATGTATAATTATGTTACACAGTAATAATCTACCGAATTATTGTACGCATACACATATGCAGAATATGTTATGTTACAATATTGTTAAAGCTATTTTAAATGCTCGCCCGAATTAACAGGTACTTGGTCATGTATAGCACGTTTTTGAATAATTAATTTGAATATTATTAGCTCATCGATTCGATTTATATCTGTGAATTTAATTTGTTTATTATGTACATCCAATACAAATACTAAAAAATTGCACAATATTTTCAGGTACTGGCATGGGTTTTATTAATAGGAAAAAAAACAACCATTACAAAGATTTTAAGAGATTTGATTTAAATTCTGCCAAACTAGCTTAGCTTTATAAGCTACTTGCTGTTATACTCGAACATATCATCATTTCCGCAACTTCCAATATCGTAAGATTCATGCTATAGTATACAGGGTGCCCATTATGTCTGGAATATAGTATTTATCTTGGTAAATCTTGACTATATACAAAATTTTTCTATATGAAAGTTGTTTCACATTTTATTTCACATAATAAGGTAGTATTCCATTGTTTTTATTTCAGAAAACAAATGAATAACGAAAAGCAATTTTTTTAAATAGCAATGCTCACTTTCATTAGGCTCATTTGATAGAGATTTTTTCTCTTTTTTAAATGACGTAATACGTTAGCACCCGTGTAGAAGAAATTGATTTTTATTACAAGCTTTTTGTGATAGGTTATGCCACTGCCTTGCAGTTAATGGTGAACATTTTGAACATTCATTGCCATGAAAACCATTTTACTGCTTTACAGGTTCATTTGTTTTCTTTTAATATAGGATATCTGGATTAATGTTATTGATCTAAATATGATACATTTTTTTGGAAAAATTTAATAAGGTGCTAACATGTTATATCATCGGAAAGAGAAAAAACATCTCTATCAAATGAGCCAAATGAAAAGGCGCACTGCCTTGTTTGTATTCTGAAATAAAAACAACTGAATGCTGCCTTATGGGAGATAAAATGTTAAACAGCTTTCATATAGAAATTTATACATACCTATATACTATGTTCCATACATAATGGGCACCCTGCATTAACAATACTAATTAGATATTATGCTTTGGAAAGTTCGAAATACCCTCCGATCATTTACAAACATTACCGTGTTTTACATTCTTTAAATAAACACGTGAAGTATTATTCTGAGGTCTCAACAATTAAAATCTCCCGACACGTGAAGATTCAATTAAATGTTTTTGTTTGTTTTCTACATCGCTCTTGGCGGTATCTTTCGTTAGGCGAATCCAATTTTTTAAGGGAAACAAACGAGTATTTCTTAGTAAATAAATAAGACCCAACAAAAGCTGGCCGACGTAATATAAATACGTTTAAATTGAAATAATTTGCAATTTAAATAATGGCAAAATTCGTTCGTTTACGTAACAGGGAAGTTGTATGTATATAAAAAAGTAAAATGTTAATTATAAACAAACGTTCGTTTCTAATGGAAAAAAAGTGTAGGACAAGTCAAATTGAATTAATTAATTAACATGGCAGCTTGGTCGGGTTATATGCGCATTTAAAATGCGGTTTTGCGAACAGGGTGAACTATTTTATTAGTGGATGAATGAATGTAATACCAAAACGGGTCATTTTAAGCTTACAGATTGCTGTTTGGTAAAACTAAAATAAATTACTCGCTAGATCAACAAAACCGCCTTTGCGGTTGTACTCAATACAAAAAATCAAATTTTCAGTATGTACTCAACATGCGTTTTGTGCAGTTTATATTAAATTTTTTTGCAAATGAAACGTTTTCAATTTTACGTTCAGGCAAATTGCAATTTGTTTAATTGCCTATTTAATTTCAGTGCACTATGCTTTATTACAAAGTGTACATAAAAGGCAAATCTGATACCCAAAGGCAATGAAAATTCCTAATTAATTTTATTGTAGTTTTCGACATCAAGTTGCTAAGGTTACCTGCGAAAGTTGTAACAATATAATTAGTATTTGCCAGTGATCAGTCGGCACAAAGACAATGATATCGCCACCAATTGGAAACCTTTTATATTGATTTTTAAGAAGCATTAAATAAATTAGAGCCACAGATGGATTTTAAATATTTGAAAGAACGAATAAAATATGCAGTACGAACGTTCATAAAGCCTCACAATTTTATTACCTTCAATACATTTTTTTCCGAATCATTTAATCCTGTGTACTTTTAAAACAC